CTTTTTTTTTTAAAGATTTTTTTTGACAGAGAGGGACACAGCGAGAGAGGGAACACAAGCAGGGGGAGTGGGAGAGGGAGAAGCGGAGAAGGAGGCTCCCGGCCGAGCAGGGAGCCCGATGTGGGACTCGATCCCAGGACCCTGGGATCATGACCTGAGCCGAAGGCAGATGCTTAACGACTGAGCCACCCAGGCACCCAAGACTTAATTTCTTAAGAACAGTTTTAGGTTTGCAGCAAAATTGAGGGGAAGGTACAGATTTCCTATATACCCTCTGTCCCCACACATGCACAGCCTCCCCGGTTATCTCTCTCTTGCTCTATTTTTAGAGAAGTGTCTATTCAAGTCTTTAGCCCATTTTTAAAATGAGTTATTTTTCTTCTGCTATTGCATTCTAGGGGTTCTCCTTTTTTAGAGAGAGAGAGAGCGAGCATGCATGTATGAGTGGAGGGGCAGAGGGAGAGGGAGAGAGAGAATCCTAAGCAGACTCCACACCCAGTGTGGAACCTGATGTTGGGTTCGATCCCATGACCGTGAGCTCACCACCTGAGCTGAAATCAAGAGTTGGACGCTTAACCAGGTGCCCCAGCCTCCCCATTATTAACATTTCCCACCAGAGTGGTTGCTTACAATTGATGAAACTAATTGACAGTTTGCATAGACTTTAAAAAATAATTTCTATTCTCTAATGAGTATCTGTTGATTCATTATCATTATATTTTCCTTTAATTCTTTGAACATATTTATAAGACTTGCTTCAAAGTGTTTTTCTACTATTTCCAACATCTGGGTCCACTCAAAGTCAATTTGCATTGGCTGATGTGTTCCCTGCATATTGATCACACTTTCCTATTTCTTTGCATGTCTATTAAGTTTTGGTTGAAAACTGGACATTTTAGATAAAATAGTAATTCTGGATTCTATTTTATTTTTCTAAGGTTGTTTTTCTTTGAAAACTTGCCTGGACTTAAAGTGTAGAGTCTCTCCCTCTGTAGGGTGGCACTGGTGTGTCTGCTTAGTTTTCGTTTTTGTTTTTAGTCTTATTTTTATTCATTCCTAGCGGTCACCACTGGGTCTTCCTAATGCAGTAGTCAGCCATTGGTTTAGGCAGAGGTTGAACCCAAATACTTTAAGCCTGTAAGACACCCATCCTCTGCTGAGCAATCTGTCTGTGGGTTGGGAATCCTTTCAAACCTCCATTGGCTTTCACTTTTCCTTGGCCTCTCCCATTCCTGCACAGCTCCCCAGTGAGCCAGGGAGGTGTGGAGTGTGTAGATCAGCTTTTCTATGGTTTTCTCACTTTCTGGATCTTGCTGTCACATTTCTGCCTGGTCTGCTGCTTATCCCACGTTGGACTGGAAGGTCGGGCTGGTAAGGCTGCAGGTTTTCCTCATTCATTCCCAACTGTGCCACCACTTTTAGCTAGCAAAACTAAAGACCTAAAAGGTTTTTGGAGCCAGCCCCACATTGATAAGACTACCATTTTTGCCAGCCAGACTGGGAGGGTGAAGGGATGCAAGCAGCCTGTCAACAAGGCCACGGAATCCTGCTGCTCCCATCCTAACCTGTAGCAGGTTTTAAAAAATGGTGCTTCTCATTTGGTTGTCTGCCTTTGGTGGATTTCTAGTGCCCTGAAGTGGTCGTGTGTGTGTGTGTGTGTGTGTGTGTGTGTATAGTGGGGTTTTTTGTTTTTGTTTTGCACAGAGGAAATGACAACTTCTTTATGCTGCCATAACTGGAAGTCCCTCTTCTCATTTTTGTCATCATTCCACATGAAGAAAGGGAGGCTCAAAGAGACAAAGCAATTTGCCCTTGGAAGTAGGGGAGCCAGAATTAAACTCAGGAGCTCTATTTAAAAAAAAAAAAAAAACAGCTTTATTGAAGTATAATTGACATACAATAAATTCTACTCATTGAAACCATCCAATTTGACAAGTTTTGACATGCAGATGCACATCACCACCAAGGTAATGAATATATCACTGTATGTTTCTTTGTAATCCCTCTTCCCTTCCCACTGTCTCTAGGCAACTGCTGATTTACTTACTTTCACTCTATTGGCATTTCCTAGAATTGCATGTCAGTGGAACCACACAGTACATACTTTGTCTTTTTTCACTCAGCCTTACTGAAATTCATCCATGTTGTAGTTTATGTCAGTAGTTTATTTCTTTTTACTGCTAAATAGTATTCCATTGTATAGATAGGTGAAGGTTTGGTTACTTATCTGGTGACGGACATTGGTGTTGTGTCTAGGTTTGGGTTATACTCATAAACCTGCTGGGAATATCTGTGTACAAGTCTTTGTGTAGATGCATAGACATATGCTTTCATTTCTCTTGGGTGATATTTAAGAGTCAGATAGCTGGATCAGATGGCAGGTGTAAGTGTGATATTTTTAATAAACTTTTAATTTGGAATAATTTTAGATTTACTGAAAAGTTTTAAAGGTAGCACAGAGAGTCCCCGTCTACTCCTCATCCAGTTTCCCTGTTAGTCTTACATAGCTGTCATGCATTTGTCAAAGTGAAGACACAGACAATGGTGTATTACCATTAATTAAACTCTAGACTTTATTTGGATTTCACCACTTTTCCCAGTAACCTTAACTTTCTGTTTCAGGATCCAGTCCAGGGCACCCCAGTCTCTGCTGGTCTGTTACAGTTTCTAAGTTGTTGCTTTTTTTCACGTCCTTTGCCAGATATCCTGTGGAATGTGATAGCATGTCCTTAAATCTGGATTTCTGATGTTTTTTCCTCATGATTGAACTGGGTTTATGAGCATCGGGAAAGACCACCACAGAGGTGAGGTGTCCTTCTCATCAATCATATCAGGAGGGGGTGCCTGGGTGGCTCAGTCGGTTGAGCGATTGACTCTTGATTTCAGCTCAGGTCGTGATCCTGGGGGCATGAGATCAAGCCCCGCATCAGGCTCCACACTCAGCGGGGTGTCTGCTTGAGAGTCTCCTCTCCCTCTGCCCTTCCCCCTGATCTCTCTCTCCCTTAAAAAAATAAAATAAATAAATCCTTTAAAAATATCATATCAGGGATATGTAACATTCACACATCTCTGGTGATGTTAACCATCACTTGGTTAAGGTGGTGTTTACCAGTTTCTCCATGTAAACTTTATTTTTCTCCTTTCCCTACTGTAGTCACTAAGTCCAGTCCACCTTCAAAGGGGCAGGGAGATTTAGTTCTCCCTCCCGTGGCAGGGAATATGTACATACAGTATTTGGAATTCTTCTGTAAAAAAGACTTTTATCTTCTCTCTTGTTTCTTTATTCGGTCATTTCTTCATATCAGTATGGAGTCATGTATATTTATGTTGTACTTGGGTTATAATCCAATACTGCATTATTTACTTTGTTTCTCAAACTGCTCCAGTTCTGGCCACTGAGGGTTCTTTTAGGTTTACCCCTGTGTCCTTCGGTCATGCTGCCATGTCCACATCCTTACTTTCTGGTCACACAAGATGCCTGAAACACATCTTTTGATTTCCCTGCCCAACCCTGCCCAACCCTAGAATCAGCTATTTCTGCAAGGAGTCTTGGTTCCTTTTATTGGAGAATGGTGTTTAGAAACTAAGATCTGGGAGCTAGGGATGCTCACTGCTCCTGGGGTCTCATTGCTTCCGGGCCTCCCGGGGGACTGAGGTATGTGATATACGTATGTTAAAACTGACATATGATGTATAGTAATACACATCCTAGGCTAAATATGACTTCACTGTGGTACCTCTCATTCCGGTACAGAACCACAGGTATCTTATCTCTTACCCCATCCAACAGAGAGAACCCCAGTTCCTAATATCGGCCAAGGATTTACTGATCTCTTCAACCCCAGGGGGCATGTAGGCAGTTCCCCCCCTTGGGAAAGAAATGTACCAACTAGAGTACAGTGTTTATGTGCAGTTCCTTTTGTGTTTAGCTTTCTAGTTCCCAGTCAAAACATGATTTTCCAAAGTTACTCAGATCAGCTCCTTCTTTGCCCCCCATGTGGGGGTCTGTATTTAACAGGGAAGTCATGGAGCCCGGTTACCAGGAGGAGACGGTGGAGGAGTTACCATTTCCTTTCAAAGACCACAGAGAGTCTTCAAACGAACCATGGAAATTCCTGACCAAGATTCAGGGAAGAAAAAATAGGAAAAAAATCTTACGCTTTCTTCTGTCTTTTCTCTTCCTGTGAAAAGGAAGAGCCCCTCTCAAGTGAGACACAGAGGGTCTGGGGCTTGCCAAGACAGGACCAAGGACTTCCCAGGTTTCACTATGTTTACGCTTAAAGCAGAATAGGCATCTTCAAATAACAAGCTGATACCGGGAGAGGTGGTCGAAATACAAGGGGCCTAATGCTGGACTCACGCCGCGGTCTCTGACACTGTGGGGTCAAACCCTGCCACCGGCCAGGTGTTCCTTACTTGACATTCTCAGCGTGTTTCCAGGCCTTTCTTCCGGCCCTGCCTGGCCGGACCCAAAGCAAAAGGGAAGGTGTGAAACGGTCAGCTCTGCTCTACCACCCCTCCAAAGGAGGAGGCCCTGGGCCGTC